GGGCTTCCGCGAGGACCCTGCCAGGACCCCCGCAGGACCCGCAGGACCCTACAGTGGGGGTGCGCATCAAGAAACCGTATGATTTTCGACAGGGCATCCTGGGTTTCTTCACTCCGCGAGCTGCGCGGTGACTTCCCGCAGCCGTTGAAGAAGCTGGTGCGTTCAGGGTGCTCTGGGTTTCCCCTCAGGTGCACCTCGCGCGCGGGTTTTCAGGGTCGGGTTCCTTGCGAGGGTTCCCTGCGGCCGCGCCCGCACTGCACGATGTCCGTTCTCTGGGCCCTGCCTGCAGGTGCCCTGCCAGGACCCCCGAGTCTACGGCGGCAGCAGGCGGCACAGCTTTCGGCGCGGCCGCGCACGCCGCCGCCGTGCTGCCGGGGCACCCCGGCCGGGGCGGCGCGGGGGCGGGCCGTGCCAACGGCGCCGCCCGCCGCCCAGCTCTCGGCGCCCGCCGGGGCCGCGACGCCGGCCCGCCGTGGTGGCGCCACCACCGCCGCGCAGGGATCTCGCCAGGGCCTCACGAGGACTCGGGCAGGAGTCGGCCCGTTCTCGCTGTGCGTGCCTCGTTTCTCGCCCCTCTCGGCTCAGCCCGTGCCTCTCCCTGCCCGCCCTGTGCCCTCGCTTGGGCGTGCGCCCCCGCCGCTGCGCTGCAGGGACTTCTGACACGGGCTATGTGTGAGTTGCGTTCGTGCGCGGCCCGCTTAGCTTCGACCGGAAGAGGTGCGCTCTCGACCCGCGGATCTAAAAAAAGTGAGTTGCGTCAGCGCGGGGAAGAGGACATCCCGAAACAGGACTCGGGTGGGTCTGTCAGGGGCGCTGCCAGGACCCAGCAGGCCCCACCAGGACGCTGGCAGGACGCTGGCAGTTCCCTGCCGTGACCCTGCTAGGGCCCTACCAAACTCCCCTCCAGGACCCCACCAGGGTCCCACCATCATCATACAGGGGCCATGTATCCCAGTAGGACCGTAGTTACCAGGACCTTACCATGACCGTGCCACGAACCTGCCAGCACCGTGGCACGATCCTCGCAATTCAAACCTTCGCAGGACCACGCCAACACTTGACCCAAACTCCACCAGGAGCGTGACTTGTGCAGGACTGCGCCGGGATCTTCTTATATAAACTGACCAGGGCCATGCCAGGACCCTCCAGGACCTCGAGCATTTTCCTGGTTCGTTGTGGTGAAGGCGCCCCCATTTGGAGGAGGAGGAGGAGGAGAAGGAGGAAGAAGAGGAGGAGGAGTAGGAGGAGGAGGAGGAGAAGGATGAGGAGTGTCCGCGGGTTCACAGATGCGCCCGTGCGTTTAAGTGGCATCGCGGCGGATGGTATCGTGCCCGCCCCCTGGGCCGCTGCATTCTCCTTCCGAGCGGGGCGACCTCCTCTCCAGACGTGCCGGCTTGACCGCGATCCGAAAGCGAAGCTCCACATCGTCCCGCGAAGCTCGCGTGAAGCTCGACGCTGACATTAGCCATAGCAACCTAGGAAGGTCTCGATGGTTCGAGCAGCTTTCGCTCGCTCGCCAGCGCCTGTTTCGTTGTGCGATCATCTGCATCCCCAGCACTTCCAGGCTGCAGGAATCAGCAGCACCATGCCCATCACCAGCGTCATCGTAATCATCATCAGCATGAACAGGACCGTCATAGTCAGAACCAGCTTCAGTCGCATTCCAGTACTCATCCACGTCGTAGTTTCTCCGCCTTTTATGACGGAGCGCCATCGCGAACCTATCGGGCATCGGTGGGATACGGCCAAGACGCCGAAATAAGGACCACCCTGGGCTCGGGAGGGGCTCCGTTTTCGGGCCGTTTCTCCGATCCAGGTCGTGGGTCCTATTCGTGGCCGAGGCTCGCTGAGAACGCTCCTCTGTTCGTAGCGTTAGGGCGCTATGATTGTGCAGCCAGGGCTATGACTGTGCAGCCAGGGCTCACCCGAACAGAACTCGGGGCACGCTCGAACCCTCTCGGGCAACCGCCGGGATACCACCCCGCGTCAGTGGGGGCGGCGAAGTCTCCAGAGGTCGCTGGAGGCCTCCGGAGGCTCCCAGAGGCCAGGGGCGTCCTCCGAAGGCTCTTTGCGGCTCCACGACGCCCTCCGAGGGCCGTCCGACTGCGTTCGACGTCGACGACGCGATCAGGGCGCAATCGGAGCGCCGCCGGGGCGACGTCGGGAGAGCGCGGTGGAACACCCCGACGAGGCACCGCGGGGCACCTCGGCCTCCCGCTCGCCCGTGGAGACGTCGACGGCGACGCGATCAGAGCGCAGTCGGAGCGCCGTCGGGGCGGCGTCGGGAGAGCGCGGTGGGGCACCCCAACGCAGGGCTCATTTCGACTCCTCCGACTCGATTTCGAGTCCGTTTCGATCGTTTCCGCTTCCGATTCGATTCGACCTCGGATTCCGATTTGGGCCTGGGTTTCTCAAAGGAGGCCTTGCTAGTCTGCTGATTCGCTGCCGACTCGACTTCTCCCGACTTGGCTGCCGATGTCCGCCGATCCGATTCATTTCGATCGCCGAGGAGAAAGTGTCCGCCAGTGCTTAGGAGAACAATTCTGCCAGTGCTTGAGGGAACACTGACAAAAATGTGCATTGGGCGCAAACTGCTGTAACCGTTCTGACGCCGGCTTGGGCGCAAACTGCTTTAACAACCTTGTCGCCGGTTTGCGCCGCATTTTTTGGTGACACAGGGAACAACCGTCATTCAGGAGGGAAAGAAACACACAGACACAATTAATCCTCGATCCCCCAGAAAATATGGGAAAATATAGGCAGTGGGGGGGAAGACAGAAACCCAGAAAATATGGGAAAATATGGGGGATATTTTTATTTGTGTGTATTTATTTGTGTGTCCCAGTTCCCCTTCAGTCATGCATGCACAACTGCGGTGAGGAAAGCAACAATGAGAGTTCGATCGCCGGTTCGACGTGTCGGTTCGGCTCTGGGCTCTCCTGCCGACGGGGCACCACGAGCCACCTCAGCCTGCCGCCCCGAGCCGGGGCTGAGGTGCTGTGGGACCCTCGTCTTCCCGGCGAGCGCTCGCCGCAGCGAAAACGAGAGCTTGAATCCGTCGAGGATGAGAGGGCTTGGGAGCGAGAAAAGTGGAGCCACAGGAGGTGGAGTGGGAGGATGAGGAGGAGGAGGAGGAGGAGCAACAGCAGCAGCAGCAGCACCAGCAGCAGCAGCAGCAGCAGCAGCAGCAGCCGCAGCAACACCAGCAGCAGCAGCAGCAGCAGATGGAGGAGGAGGATGAGGATGAGGATGAGGATGAGGATGAGGATGATGATTATGATGATGAGGATGACGATTATGATGATGATGACGATGATGATGATGAGGAGGAGGAGGAGGAGGAGGAGGAGGAGGAGGAGGAGGAGGGGGGGGAGGGGGAGGAGGAGGAGGAGGAGGAGAAGGAGGAGGAGGAGGAGGAAATGCGGAGAATGTGGATAATGGTGAGGAGGGGATGGGCAGGAGCAGGACTGTTGGGTGGAGGACAAGGGAGGGGTCGAGGGTGGGAATGATTATGAGGATGATGATGATGATGATGATGATGATGATGATGATGATGATGATGATGATGATGATGATGAAGATGACGATGATGATGATGATGCTGATGGTGATGATGATGATGATGCTGATGCTAATGCTGATGCTGATGATGCTGATGCTGATGATGATGATGTTGTTGTTGCTGCTGATGATAATGACGAAGACGATGATAATGCTGATGCTGACGATGAAGCTGATGATGCTGATGATGATGCTGCTGCTGATGATGATGATGCTGATGATGCTGATGCTGATGCTGCTGCTGATGATGCTGCTGCTGATGATGATACTGATTATGATTCTGATGATGCTGCTGCTGATGATGATGATGCTGGTGATTCTGATGATGGTGCTGCTGATGATGATGATGATTATTATGATGATGATGAGGATGCTGCTGCTGCTGATGATGACGATGATGATGATGATGATGATGACGACGACGACGATGATGATGATGATGATGGTGACGCTGATGCTGATTATGTTGTTGTTGTTGTTGTTGTTGTTGTTGTTGTTGGTGTGTGTTGTTGTTGTTGTGTTGTGATGATGATGATGATGATGATGATGATGATGATGATGATGATGATGGTGATGGTGATGGTGATGTGATGGTGATGCTGCTGCTGCTGCTGCTGCTGCTGCTGCTGATGATGATGATGATGATGATGATGATGATGATGATGATGATGATGATGATGATGATGATGATGATGATGATGATGATGATGATGATGATGATGATGATGATGGTGGTGGTTCAGAAGAGGCCCTGAGGGAAGCGGGTCCAGAGGTGTTTATTCCTTGTTTTCGGGCCCTCGGGGCCCAGAGGTCCGTCCCTGGGCTCCAGGACCGCCAAGAGCGATTCGGGACGGAAGGCTGGCCCCTGGGGAGAGGCCACGGGGTCCGGCGCCCGTGGCCCCTCCCCAGGGGGCCCGTGGCCTTTCCCGCGGCCTTTCCCCGTGGCCATTTGCTCCTGGGGGCTCCTGTCCTGGCCCCTCCGAGCTCGCCCCCCTCAGCCTCGTTGAACCCCACCACCCGACCACCCGACCACCCCACCACCCCACCCCGCCACCTTTCCGAGCATGAACTAAATACTTCAGCGAGAACTGGAAGGGGTACCAAAAAAAGCAAACGCCTCGTTGAACCGATGCCCATCCCCACTGGGCCATGCTATCGCACCCCCCCCATTCCCCCCCCCCAGGTGGGGAGGGGGCCCCGCGAAGCCCGAAGGGAGCAGCGCGTTCCCACATCTGCGGAGTACATCGGTCAGTGGGGCCAAGACCATGCCAGTGGGGATGGGGAGCGGTTACACGATGCTCAGAGGTACCTCGATTATTCAAGTGGCTATCGCCATTCCGCCGACCCCCAGCGGAGTAGAGACGTCCAGGGCGTTCGGTGGGCTATGTTGGAGATGGAGTGGCTGTTTTTTTTCTTATCACGCCCGCGAGGGTGGATGAGAAGGAGGCGGGGAAGGAGGAGGAGGGGGAGGAGGAGGAGGAGGAGGATGAGAGAGGAGGAGGAGGAGGAGGAGGAGGAGGAGGAGGAGGAGGAGCGGAGGTGGGATGGAAAAGGGCGGAGGGAGGAATGACGGAATTTAGGGGTGCAAGGGGTGTTGTCGGAGGTACCTCGATTATTTCGTCCAGGACCAGAAGAAACACCCCTCGGAGAAGAGCGTGGTGATGCTGGAGCTCCTGTCCGAACCCCTGCGCATGGAGCTGCACTACGAGGCGGCCATCCCTCCATCGAGTAGTGCTGCTGATGGTGATGATGACGCTTATGGTGATGGTGATGGTGATGGTGACGACGATGGTGATGATGACGACGATGAAAATGGTAATGATGGTGATGGTGATGGTGATGATGGTACGATGATGGTGTAATGCTGCTGATGAAGATGGTGATGGTGCTGCTAATGGTAAGTATTGGGGGTGCTGACGGATACGATGATGATGCTGATGATGAGGATGACAATGATGATGCTGCTACTGTCAATGATGATGCTGCTGCTGCTGATGATGATGATGGTGATGATGATGATGATGATGATGATGATGATGATGATGATGATGATGGTGATGATGATAGCGACGACGACGATGCCGACGATGATGATGCTGCTGATGATGCTGATGATGCTGATGCTTCTGACGATGCTGGTGTTGCTGGTGCTGATAACGAAGAGGCTGATGATGATGCTGTCGATGATCACGATGCTGACACTGATGCTGATGCTGATGCTGATGATGATGATGATGATGATGATGATGATGATGATGATCATCATACTGATGACGAAACTGGTACTGATGATGATGTGGCTGGTGGTGATGCAGATGACGATGATTAGGACGGTGATATCGACGAGTATAATGCGGATGATGTTGCTGATGCTGGTAATTATATTGATAGTGATGCTGATGCTGAGGGCGCTGCTGCTGCTGGTGATGGTAATGATAATGATGACGGTGATGAAGATGATGCCGTTGCTGATCATGATGGTGTTGCTGATTGTCATGTTGCTGATGCTGATGATGATGCTGATGATGATGATGCTGATGCTGATGCTGACGCTGCTGATGATGATGATGATGACGATGATGATGATGATGATGATACTGATGATGATGATGATGATGATGATGATGATGATGATGATGATGATGATGATGATGATGACGCTGATGCTGATGCTGATGCTGTTGCTGATGATGATGCTGATGATGCTGATGACGTTGATGATGCTGATGATGATTATGCTGCTGCTGCTGCTGATGATGATGATGATGATGATGATGATGATGATGATGATTGCGAAGGCCTGACGGCCGGTGCCGCCGACCCTGTTCGCAATGCGCAGCAAGAGGCACGGGCTGTGGGATGGTTTGGGGGAACGGGGAGAAGGACGAGAAGGTGGGGGAGGGAGGTGTCGTATCTGACCCGGGACTTCCCCGGGACTCCCCCGGGACCCCCCCCGGGACCTCCTCTCCCCCCCCCGTCGGGGAAGGGAAAGGGAAGGGGCTTCCCTTCGACTCAATGACGACGTTGCTCAAGGTCGGTACGGGGGGGGGGCGTCGTATCTGACTCGGGGGGGGGGTCGCTACCCCCCCCGCTACCCCCCCCCCCCTCCCGGCGGGGGAGGAATGAAAGGGAAGGGGCTTCCCTTCGACTCAATTACGAGGTTGCTCAAGGTCGGCTTGGCTGGAGCCCAGGGGAAGAGGAGTCCCAGGGGGGGGCGTCGTATCTGACCCGGGGGGGGGGTCGCTACCCCCCCCCCCCTCCCGGCGGGGGAGGGATCAAAGGGAAGGGGCTTCCCTTCGACTCAATTACGAGGTTGCTGCTGCTGCTGCTGATGATGATGATGATGATGATGATGATGATGATTTTGGTGATGGTGATGATGATGGTGATTGCGCTGGCGATGGTGATGGTGATGGTGCTGCTGATGGTGATGGCGATGAGAACTCCTAGGAGAAGGAGTCGGAGGAGGAGTAGGTGGAGGAGGGGGAGGATGATGAGGAGGAGGGGGGGGGAGGAGGAGAAGGTGGGAATGGATCATGATTCTGCTACTGCTCATGATGATGCTAATGGTGGTGGTGATGGTAGTGATGATTATGATGCTCATGCTGCTGATGGGAGGACGATGGGGAGGGGGAGGAGTGTGAGGAGAAGGAGGAACGGACAGAGGAGGGAGGAGGAGGTGGCGGACACTGAGGTTGAGGAGAAGGACGGGGATTGGCAGACGTAGGGGTTGTGGGAGGGGGGTGACAATCATTGAGAGGATGGGGGGTAAGGGAGGACGGGATGGGGGACTATGGATGGGATGGACAGGGATGCTGCTAATGAGGATGATGACGATTACGATGACGATGACGACGATGATGATGCTGATGATGCTATGGATGCTGATGCTGATGCTGATGCTGCTGCTGATGATGATGATGCTGCGACTGATGATGCTGATGATGCTGATGATGCTGACGGTGCTGATGATGCTGATGCTGATGCTGATGATGACGATGAGGATGTCGATTAAGGTGATGCTGATCATGCTGGTGATGCTGATGATGATAATGATGATGATTGTGACGATGATGCGAATGCTGACGATGATGATGTTGATGATGATGCTGATGCTGATACTGATGATGAGGATGATGACGATGATGATGATGATGATGATGATCATGATGATAACGATGATTACTATACTGATGCTGATGATGCTGCTCATGATGATGATGCTGTTGTTGATGATGATGCTGATACTTCTGCTGATGATGATTATGATGGTGATGCTTCTGCTTCTGCTGCTGATCCTGATGATGATGCTGACGATATGGTGTGAGCCGCATGCTGATGATGCTGATGATGCTGATGATGACGATGATGACGACGGTGGTGATGATGATGCTGATGATGATGATGATGATGCTGATAATTATGCTGATGATGATGCTGCTGATGCTGATGATGATGATGATGATGAGGAGGATAATGCTGCTGCTGCTGCTGCTGCTGACGATGGTGATGCAGATGCTGATGCTGCTGATGATGATGATGATGATCATTCTGCTGATACTGATGATGCTGATGATGATGCTTCTGCTGCTGCTGCTGCTGATGATGATGATGCTGATGGTGGTGGTGATGATGATGGTGGTGGTGATGGTGATGATGATGAGGAGGAGGAGGAGGAGGATTAGTAGGAGGAGGATGAGCAGGAGGAGGATGAGGAGGAGGGGAAGGAGGATGAGAAGGAGCAGGAAGCGGTCTTCTGTGGTGGACGAGGTTCCCTGTTTCCCCCGCCGCTTCGGCCCAGACAGGTGTACTCTCCCTGGCTGACGAAGCACCCGTTCTTCGAAGCGTACGCGGGCGCCAACCGCACGGCCTTCAACAGGAGGGGTGGATAGACTGGTGCTTGCCCCTGGAGTCAGGGGATGAGTGATGAGTACGGTCAGCAGGAGGGGGAGGAGCAGGAGAAGGAGGAGGATGAAGGAGACCAAGGGGGAATGATGAGGATGGTAACGACGACGGCGGCGACGACGACGATGATGATGACGGCGATGGCGACCTTGCTGCTGCTGTTGATTGATTGATTGATTGATTGATTGATTGATTGATTGATTGATTGATTGATTGATTGATTGATTGATTGATTGATTGATTGATGATGATGATGATGATGATGATGATGATGATGATGATGATGATGATGATGATGATGATGATGATCATGCTGATGCTGATGCTGATGATGATGATGCTGATGCTGATGATGATGATTATGATGAGGATGATGAGGATGGGATGGGATGAGTCAGGAGGAGGAGGATGAGGAGGAGGAGTAGGAGATGAGGATGCGAGAGGAGGCAGAAGAGGAACAGGAGGAGGAAGAGGAGGAGGAAGAGGAGAGGAAGAAGAGGAGGAGGAGGAGGAGGAGGAGAGGAGGAAGAGGAGAGGAGGAGGAGAAGAGGAACAGGAGGAGGAGAGGAGGGAGGAGGAGACGTGCGTCCGTCCACTGCTGGAGCTGGCGGCGCCCTCCCCACCCTACCCCGCTGGAGGTTTCTGGAGGTCACCGGAAGTCTCCAGAGGCCTCCCGAGGCCCGAAAGGGGCCAAAAGCATTTGCCCCAAACATGGCAGAGCAATGCCGAACATGGCAATGCAACGCCGAAGTTGGTCTGTCTGGTGGATCGGGCACCGTACCTGGGGGAGTCGGAGAATGAGGATGATAATAAGGATGAGGATCATGACGATGATGCTGATGCTGATGATGCTGATGATGCCGATGATGCTGATGCTGATGCTGACGTAATGCTGCTGACAATGCTGATGATGATAATGCTGATGCTGATGTTAATGCTGATGCTGACGATGACGATGATGATGATGCTAATGCTGATGCTGATGATGCTGCTGATGATGATGCTGATGCTGACGATGCTTGTGATTTTCATGATGATGCTGATGATGATGCTGATACTGACGCTGCTGCCGACGATGACGACGACGATGACGACGATGATGATGCTGATGATACTGATGATGCTGATGCTGACGCTGATGCTGACCATGACGATGACGATTATGCTGCTGACGATGATGATGACGGTAATCCTTGTGATTGTGATGATGATGCTGCTGATGATGCTGCTGATGCTGACGATGATTGTGATTTTCATGATGATGCTGATGCTGATGCTGATGCTGATGTTGATGCTAATGCTGCTGCCGATGACAAAGGCCACGATCATGATGACTATGACTAATATCAGGATGATGATGATGCTGATGCTGAAACTGCTGATGAGGATGATGATGATGTTGATGATCGTGATGATGATGGTGCTGATGATGATGACGACAACGACCGCGATGACGACGACGCCCAGGACACCGATACTGATGCTGTCGATAATGATGATGATGCTGATGCTGATGATGATGCTGATGATGATGCTGCTGATGATGATGCTGTTGATGATGATGGTCATGATGATTATGATGATGGTGATGGTGGCGATGATGATGCTTATATCGACCACGATAATGCTGATGATCATGCTTATGACGATGATGTTGCTGCTGATGAAGATGCTGATGGTGATGACGATGCTGACGCTGACGACCACGACGCCGTCGACGACGATGAGGATGATGCTGCTGATGATGAGTATTGGATGTTGATGTGGATGAGAATGAGGATGAGGATGAGGATGATGATGCTGATGATGACGACGACGATGATGATGATGATGCTGATGATGATGATGATGATGATGATGATGATGATGATGACGCTGCTGCTGATGATGATCATGCTGCTGCTGATGATGATGATGAAGGTGATGACGATGATGCTGCTGATGATGATGCGGATGATGATGCTGATGATGATAATGCTGGTGCTGGTGACGATGACTACGACGACGATGATGATGATGATGATGATGATGATGATGATGATGATGATGATGATGATGGTGATGATGATGATGTTGCTGCTGTTGCTGTTACTGTTGATGGTGATGATGCTGATGTTTATGAGGATGATGATGATGATGATGATGATGGTGGTGGTGATGATGATGATGATGCCGCTGCTGATGCTGCTGCTGATGATGTTGTTGAGGATGTTGCCGCTGCTGATAATGGTGCTGCTGCTGCTGATGATGACGACGATGCTGCTGCTGCTGCTGCTTATGATGATGATGATGATGATGATGATGATGATGATGATGATGATGATGATGATGATGATGGTGACGCTGGTGATGCTGCTGCTGCTGCTGCTTTTGCTGCTGCTGCTGCCTTTGCTGCTGCTGATGATGATGATGAGGAGGATGAGGAGGAGGAGCAGGAGGAGGAGAACCTTAAGGAAGCCATCGGAAGTCCCTGGTGGATCTGGTGTTAGTCGCAATTCATGCGTTTCTGGACTTCCTGTCTTGCTCTGGCCAAGGGGAGCTGTTTCTGCGAAGATAAACTGGTGACCCCGAACGAGCTGGCAACTTTTGAGAGAAGCGCCGGAGAAGATTCGCAGCGAGACGGATGTGGGGAGCAGCAGGAGGAGGAGCAGCAGGAGGAGGAGCAGCAGCCGCAGCATCAGGAGGAGGAGGAGGAGGAGGAGGAGGAGGAGGAGGAGGAGTAGGAGAAGGAGGAGGAGGAGGAGGAGGAGGAGGAGGAGGTGACAGGGAGCGGAGAGGACGCTGGGATTTGGCCCCAAAGACCTTTCAGAGCCCCCTAGAAACGTCAAGGATCTCCGAAGACCCTCCTCAAAAAACGCCCTTCTTCCTCCCTCCTCCTTCATCTCCTCACCTCCTCCTCCGCCCCCTCCACCTCCTCATCTCCTCCTGTTCCCCTCCTCCTCCCCCTTCCTCCTCCCTCCTCCCCTTCTGCCTCTCCCCCTCCTATTTACCCCCCCTGTCCTCCTCCTCCTATTCCTCCTCCTCTTCCTCCTCCTCCTACTCCCTCCTTCTTCATGCCTTTTCCTTATAACTAGTTTCTCCTTGTCGCACCCCGAGGCTAGTTTTGAAGGCGGGCCGGGCGTTTCGCCTAAGACTTCCTCACCAATTGAGCTGGCAACAGTTTCACAGATGGAGGGCGGTTGGTTTTCAAAGTGTGGCTCTCGCCGTAGCGCCGCGCACATTCGTTTGAAAGACTCAAGAGTTTCACGGGTTGAGGGCGACTGGTCTTCAAACTGTTGCTCTCGCTTTGGCGCCGCGCACATTCGCTGTAAGTATTTGCAAGAGTTTCACGGGTTGAGGGCGTGGCGTTTTTTTTGTTTGTTTGTTTTTTTCTTCCTTTTCTTTTCTTTTCTTTTTTTTCTTTTCTTTTCTTTTATTTTCTTTCAAAATGTGGCTCTCGCCTTAGCGCCGCGCACATTCGTTTTACACATTTTTGAAGAGCTTCACGGATTGAGGGTGGATGTTTTTCAGAATATGGATTTCGCCTGAACGCCGCGTTTATTCGTTTATAGAGCTTGCAGGAGTTTCACGGATTCCCATGATCGGCGAACCAGAAATGGTGTTTTGGAAAAATCACGATTATGCAGGTGCAACAGTTACGTTGATTCGCGGTGTTGAAGTCCCAGGAATGGTTTTCTGGCACAGTTCAGGCTCGTCAAGACGCAACAGTCAGGTTGATCCGTGGCGTTGGAATCCCGAGGACCATGTTTTGGCATGCGTCAGAATCTTCAAACGGTTGTCTTCCGAAGAGTCAGGTCCCTCAGTGGAAATGAACCGTTGCAGGAGCCTATGAAGAGGGAGCTTGGAGGGAGGGTTTGTCCCAACATCGTTGATTATTCTTGGATTTGAACTGGTCCTCCTCCTCGTCCTCCTCCTGCTCCTCTTCTTCCTTCACATGTACACATTGAAGACGACTCTCCTCTCTATCTTGGCTCTGTCTGGAAGCTGTTCGGCACTCTCTCCATATTTCTTTGAAGCAATGTCCTTTTTGCAGTCTGATTTTTTGGTTTGATTTTGAAGCTGGCGTTCTCGCTGCAGCGCGGGCCTCATTTGTGGATCAGCGTGGCGCGTTCGCCCCAGCGCGGTCGTCTCCTCCTCCCTCCTCCTCCTCCTTCTCCTCCTCCTCTTCCTCGCGGGATGCCAGGGCGAGGACCTTGGCGCGGTAGCTGCCAGGCGAGCAAGGAGAACTTGACCTTCCAGGTGGGGGCCCGCCTCCTCTTCCTCCTGATCCTCCTCCTCCTCCGCCTCCGCGGGCGCCTCCTCGCCCTCTGCCGCCGCCTCCTCCTCCTATGTGCGGAGCTCCCCCTTTTCCCGCGCGCGCGCAAGACTGGGCCTTTCTGGGAGTTCCAGGTCCATTGTGGCACGCGTCCGCGGATAGAGGAAAAACGAGCGCCATGTGAGGGGCTCGGGAGGGAGGGATCGGATGTCAGATGTGGCGCGAGCGCGCGTAGCTTGGCGTCTCCCGATGGCCCCTGGGTCGCACAGAAGCACATGAGCATCCAAGGGAACTCGCAGGCAGACTTCGAAGGTGCCTTTGGATTCATAGAGCTACGTTATCTTACCGCGTGCGCCTACCGTGTCAGTGTTTGACGGCGGGCTCGCGGCGCAAAATCGCCCCCCCGCCGCCACCGCGGCCCCCAACGCGTGGCTGCGATCCAATCCGGGCCACGGAGCAGCCTTAGCCTGTGAGGCAGCTCCGTCGTTGGGGCGTTTGAGCATGGAGGATGCGGCGGCGCAGATGGCTGCAAAAGGGTAGTCCGTCAGGCTGGATGTGAGGCCGCTGGTGGAGGCTCTGGTGGTGTTGCTCTTCTCTTTTCAGCTTGGGAACTTCAGATCGCCTCAGCGCCTGGCTGATGGCGACGGGCCGTGTCACGAAGTTGGCGGCGGAGGGGTCGACTCCGACGTGTCTGCCTTTAGTGCGGTGTCTTGCGCGAGCGCCCGGGCACATCAGTCCTGACTTGCGGTGGTTGGGAAACGTGTTTCGAAGCCGTGGCCGAGGACATGCTTGGCCGTTGGTGGCGATGTCCTGGCATCTGGCCCTGGCGCGCCAGGCCTCAATGGCGGTGTCAATGGCACGCCAGTCCGCAGTGGCGGTTTGTTTGGTGAGTTGGGATGTTAGTTCCCGTCCTTGCTCTTTCCCCCCGGCGGCTGATGCGATGGCTGGGGACTGAGGACGAAAGGTATGCGTCTCAAGAGTCACTCATCAGTTGTGTTCGCATGTGGTCGAGCCCATTTCGGAGCTGGCGCCGGTCGGCGAGGCTGCTCTCTAGAGACCCTCGCCGCGGACGTTCCGCCAGGAGGATTTCCACAGGGAGCGACGGAGCTGGACGACACTGACGTTGCACTGCAAGGGCCTTCCGTGGATGGTGAAGTGGTGTTCGTCACGGAGTTGCCGAAACAGCCGTCGCTGAGGGTGCCAGCGTTGCTGGTTGTCTTTCGGCTGATGGCAGCTGGTGCGAAGGTTGTGCGGGGCGTGGCAATGCAGCAAAGATGATGTTTCACTTGAGGCTTCTCCAGTGGATTGCCAGATCTCTCGTTCTTGTTTGTGTTGTCTGTTGCTTTTGTTTCCCTTGCGAGCTAGTCTCTCTGGAAGCTTGTCCTTCAGTGGTGCGCAGCTTTCTGCCTCTTTCCTTCATTCCCCCCAGGTCCTCCCCTTCTTCCCTCTTACTCCCTCTCCTCCACCACAATTACACCTTATGAGTACTACTTTCCTCTCTCCCATGATGACGTCCGGAAGATGTTCGGCCCTCTTCCGCGTACTGTTCTTTTACACAGGATTAATTTTTGTTTTTTCTTTCTTCGTGTGTTTTCAACATGTTGCGCCCGCTGAAGCGCTGGCCTCATTGTCGGGCTTCCGCTCGTTCCGAATCGTGCTCCCGCTGCAGCGCTGGCCTCATTTCCGCGCTTACGCTCGTTGCGAATCGTGCTCCCGCTGCAGCGCTGGCCTCATTTCCGCGCTTCCGCTCGTTGTGAATCGTGCTCCCGCTGCAGCGTTGGCGCTATTATTTCCAGTGCCGCGCCACGGCATGCAATGCAACGGTATGTGGTGTTCCGCTGCGCGATGCCATGCCTTCAGCTGCAATGCTAGGATATGCAGTGCTTGCCTACGCAGTGCCACTCCTTACTATGCCATGCTATGCTTTGATCTTGAACGCCATGCTATGCCATGTTCTGTTCTGTGCCGCTGTGCGATGCCATTCTTTGCGTTGCAATGCTTTGTGATGCAATTCTTTACTACGCAACGCCACGCCATGCTGTGTCATACTACGCTCTGCTGTGCTCTTCTACGCCCTGCTATGCTGTGCTCTACGATGCATCGCGCACGCTCTCGGGATCATTGCCCTCTTCGACACCCGACTGTGCGAGTACAGAGGAAATCTACGCCATGGTAAGGGATGGGAGGGAGGGGTAGGACGTCAGATATGATTCGAGCGCCCTCTCCTCCTCCTCCTCCTCCTCCTCCTCCTCCTCCTCTCTCCTCATCATCATCATCATCATCATCCACATCACATCCTCATCATCATCATCATCCCTCTCCTCCCTTCTTTCCTCCTCCTCCCTCCTCTCCTCCTCCTCCCCCCCCACCCTTCCTTACTCCTCTCCTCTCCCTCCTCCTTCCTCCTCCTTCTTCCTCCTCCTCCTCTCCTCCTCCTCCCTCCTCCTCCTTCTCCTCCTCCCCACCTCCTCCTCCTCTCTTCCTCCTCCTTCTCCTCCTCCCCCTCCTCCTCAACCACTCACGCCCCACGAGGGAAGCGCCGACCCCCCCAGAAACCGACTTTGTATACATAAAAACCGAGCATACATGTCGCGAGTGCGAGCTGTAGGCTATTTATGGAGCTCCACCAATCGACGGGAAATGCTGAGGAGCACCAGTCGAAAGTATCTAGACGCTTGATATCGGTCTGCTACCGCTGGGACCAAGTGATTATTTGGACTTTGTCATTTTTTATAAGAGATGGTTTTGCTTTCTGCATTCAGTTCGAGTCGTAAAGCTCTTCGATGAGCTATAGAAATTCGGGCGCGGGGTGGAGCTAGTACCTCGTAGAGCTCTTCGGCATCGATGAGCAAGAGGAATTCCGGCGCGGGGTGCAGCTAGTTGGTCCACCCGGCCCGTGCGGACAATGTGTCAAGTTTGGGTCGGTTGGACGAACATTATATATATATACATATATATATATATATATATATATATATATTTTTTTTTTTTTTTTTTTTTTTTTTTTAGAACCAGCACTTTTGTAACGTGAGGTGGGTTATGCCGCTTCTGTCTGTGAAATTCTCCAAACATCGCCCAGGCATCCCAAAGACTTCTGGCCCCTTGTGCTTGCCCTGCCTTTCCATCTGTTCCTTCTTCTTGCTCTGCTTCTCTTCTCTTTCTCAGCGGCAGGCTGTGCCACCGGGCGGTGAAGACGGCCGGCGCCCTCGGCCCGCTGCGCGGCCCCCGCCCGCCCCGATCCGTGTCCCCGCGCGCTCGGCGGGCGCTCCCTCGGCGGGCGCGCTCGGCGAGCCCTCGGCGCAGGAGGCTTTGCCCTCCTCGGTCCTCCTCGGTCCTCGTCGGTCCTCCTCGGTCCTCCTCGGTCCTCCTCGATCCTCCTCGGTCCTCCTCGATCCTCCTCGGTCCTCCTCGGTCCTCCTCGATCCCCCTCGATCCTCCTCGGTCCTCCTCGGTCCTCCTCGGTCCCCCTCGATCCTCCTCGATTCTCCTCGGTCCTCCTCGATCCTCCTCGATGCTCCTCGGTCCTCTTCGATCCTACTCGGTCCTCGATCCTCCTCGATCCTCCTCGATCCTCCTCGATTTTCCTACCTCCTCCCTCCCTCCCTCCCCTCTGTGCGAAGGGAGGAGCGAGGAAGTAGGAGGGAGAAGGGGGAGGAGGCGGGGATGATGATGATGATGATGATGATGATGATGATGATGATGATGATGATGATGATGATGATGATGATGATGATGATGATGATGATGATGATGATGATGATGATGATGATGATGATGATGATGAAGAGGATGATGATGATGATGATGATTATTAGGATTTTTTTTTTTTTGGGGTGTGGGGTGTGGGGGGGGCGATGCTGATGCTGGTGCTCATGGTGCTGATGCTGGTGCTGTGATGGTGGTGGTGGTGGTGGTTTTGATTATGATGATGATGATGATGATGATGATGATGATGACGATGACGATGTGCTGATAAAGACGAATAATCATATGAAGAAGATGATGATGATAATGATGATGATGATGATGATGATGATGATGATGATGAGGAGGAGGAGGAGGAGGAGGAAGAGGATGAGGATGCTGATGAGGATGAGGAGGATGAGGATGATGATGAGGATGACGATGATGATGATGATGATGATGATGATGATGATGATGATGATGATGATGATGATGATGATGATGATGATGATGATGATGATGATGATCATGAGGATGAGGATGATGATGAGGACGATGATGATGATGATGCTGATGCTGATGCTGATGCTGCTGATGATGCTGCTGATGATGATGAGGATGAGGATGATGATGCTGATGATGCTGCTGCTGATGTTGATGATGCTGCTGCTGCTGATGCTAATGCTGATCATGCTGAAAATGAGGCTGATGTTGATGCTGATGCTGATGATGCTGATGATGATGATGAGGAGGAGGACGAGGAGGAGGAGGAGGAGCAGGAGGAGGAGGACGAGGAGGACGAGGATGAGAAGGAACATTGGGGATCGAGTCTATTAGTTGCGTACAGGACGTTTTTAGCCCCCTATTGGCCTCCGAGAGGCTTCTCGAAGCCTCGGCATGACTCACCTCGAGCTGCTGTCTGGAACACTTCACAGGATGCCGATGTTGAGGGGATGAGGATGATGAGGAAAAATATGAGGATGAGGAGGAGAAGGAGGAGGACGAGTAGGAGGAGGAGGATCATGAGGAGGAGGAGGAGAAGGAGGAGGAGCAGGAGAAGGAGGAGGAGGAGGAGGAGAAGGAGCAGGACGAGGAGGAGGAGGATAATGAGGAGGAGGAGGAGGATGAGGAGGAGGAGGAGATCGAGGATCGAGCTCTGTGGACGATTCTCATCATGGGTTCACAGGCCGCTGGAGATCACCAGGGCCTTCCTGGCGACGGCCAGAGACGGGCCCGGGCGGCTGGCCGTCACGAGCGCTCCGATTCCGATTCTTCGTCGAGTCGTGTAGCCTTCCTCCCCCACACGGCTGGCGTTGGAAAGATAGCGTGCAACATCGCCGCCGAAAAGCACGCCATCCCTGTGAGGTGATCCCCCCCCCGAAAGGGCCCCCCGCTGTGCAGGCTATCCCCCCTGCCACGCCTTCTGCGATGCACGTGTTATCCCCAAGGGGTGGGGACAGCGTGTGAGACGCGGGCCGGCGCGGCGCCACGTCGCACGCTGATTTTTTTCGAGGCCAACCTCCCGCCACCTCTCGTCGTGACGAGATGCTGGGGGCGGGCGGATCTTGGCCGTCTTCGGCCGCCGCGGGCCCTCACGGGGCTCCGGTGCCGTCAAATAATGATTAATATGACAAAAGTGCGGTTCTGGGGATGGGGGTCAGATCCTTTTTGGGGCTCGACGCCGTGAGAAAACATGGCGTCTGAGTTCTGGGTCCTGTGTGCCTTGCCTCCCGGTGTCCTTGCATTCCGCGAGCCGCTGTGTGCGCGCAATCCCTCTGCAACGTGCTCCTTGCGTTGCCACGAAGCGCTGCTAATGGTGCGCTCTTCTGCCCGCGCGTCCCTCCAGATGCTCGGCTCAGCCACGCCTCAATTCGCTCCCAGTGCACCCCACCGCTTCCTGACCGGCCTCTGACTGTCTTGGACCATTTGGCACCCGCGGACTTGAAAAACAAGTCTTCCCGCTCCCCCGCCCATCCCAACCTCGTCGCCGTTGTCATCGTCCTCCTCTTCGTTGCCATTCTTCCCTTGAAGGAGGAAGGGAGGGGCGGAGGGAGGGAGGGAGGGAAGAGGAAGGAGAGAAGAGGAGGGATGTTGGGATGAGGAGTTCATTAAGGGAGGAGGCACGATGGGCAGGGCAAGGTCGGAGAGAGGAGTGGTGAGGGGAACTGCAGCGGCAAGCGGACCAGGGATGTTCTCAGAGCGTCGTCGAAGCTCTAGCACCCTGTTTGGCGTGGCAATCTTTTCTGTGGCAGCCCGTGGCACTGTGCAAGTCTTATTGGTAGCACCAATTGCTTTCATGTGTGCCTCCAAAGCTGCAGCAAGGGCCTCTCAAGCAGTGCGTCCTCCTGGAACATTGATGACGCCACCAGCTCGTGCACTTCCGCACGGTCAGCACCTTGCACATTGCGAGCCATCACGAAGATAGTGCCAGTCTCGTGGCGGGCGGGCCCATCTCTTTCGCATCTGTCATTGGTCGGCCACGCGCGGAGGGGGGTAGGGGAAGGGGGGAAGGCTTCTTAGAAGCACAGGGCCGGCGCCTTCTAAGAAGCAGCCTCCTTCTAAGAAGCCTTCCCCCCTCCCCCTACCCCCTTGTGCGCGCCGCCAAATTGGCGCCGGACACGACCCATAAGGTCTGCCTGACGAGGGACGACGTGCTCTACGCGAAGGGCGACGCGGCCAAGCACATGTATTTCGTTATCCGAGGCACGCTTATATACACCTACAATGACGACGACACCACGAGGAAGATCGGCCCAGGACGCTGCGGCGCAGTTGCTTCTTCACGCCACATTAGGGCCTCTGGTCGATCCGAGTTGAGGGTTCAGACAGCGAAGGTTCGATCAGTCAACTGTCGACAGGCTCGGAGGAGGAAAATGTATCGATACCGCTGCCTTCTCTCGATTTCGCCTCTTTGGGCCTCCTGGGAGGCCCATCGGCGCTGCGGCTGGATTCGCTTCGATGTTCTGGTCAATGCGCCCAGGGAGAGGTCCATGGAGTAGCGGTATCGGTTCTTTTTGATATCCAATGTGAGGGTGCGAGAACGTGGTGGTATGCGTGACTGCGAGCAGGCGCTTGCGAGAATGCGAGAAGGCGGGTTCAAGAGTGCGAGACGGCGCGTGCGATAGTGCGAGAAGTCCCGCGGCAGCCCGCACAGGGCGCGCCTCTGCGCACGCCGCTCCACGTCCAGTTCCAGTTCCACAGGCCCCCCTGCCGCGCGAGTGGTGTGCACAGGGAGGGGGAGGGGCGACAGCCTCGTGGCGAGAGCCGGGACACCCGAGAGAAGACCTCCACGGCAGGCGCGGCGGCGGTGTGGGCCGAATGCCACGAGGCCTTCGTCCGAGGCTGCTGCTGCTGATAATGGTGATGGTGATGGTGATGGTGATGATAACGTTGCTCCGTAGACGCGCTAACGGCAATACAGGTAACGGCGATGTATATTTCGGAATTGTAAGTGAGACTGGTTCGTGGCCAAACTAATTCTAGGACGTCGTGGTTCGTGCTTTCCTACAATTCGCTGCGTCGTTTGCGCTCGATACATTCGTACATTCGACATGTAGGAAGTGTGGTTCGTGATTTGCTACACGTTGTTTAGCGCCAGCTTGGTGTCACAAAAATCGGATTCCCAACATCCCCGTTAACCAACATTGCCGTTAGCAATGCTGCGGTTGAGGATGACGATGATGTTGATGATGGTTGTCCTCCTTATTTGATGACTGATGGCGACTGGTGGTGACTAGTGACTGGTTTGGCGATACACAAGGACGGTCATATGGATGGTGTTGATGATTTTGATGCTGGTGATGATGATGCTGATGACGACGGTTTTTATATTTAATAATGATGATGACCATTCTGGTGACTCCGATGATGATGCTGATTATGATGGTTGTGTTCGTGATATTGTTGTGGATTTGTGCGATGATGATGAGGACGAGGAAGATGAAGAGGATTCTGATGCTGATGCTGATGCTGATGCTGATGCTGATGCTGTTTCCGCTGTTGCGGATGATGGTGAGGAGGATGATGACGACGAAAAGGGTGGTGATGATGATGACGACGACGACGACCACGACGACGATGATTATGTGATTATGATGACGACGATGATGATGATGCCGATGCTGATACTGTTGATGGTGATGGTGGTGTTGGTTGTTGTGGTGGGCGACGGTGGTGCGGATGATGATGACGACCATGGTGATGCATTGTTGCTGTTGCTGGTGATGATGATAATGATGGCGATGGTGACGATGCTGGTGATAATGATGCTGATAATAGTGATGGCGATGAGGATGTGGATGATGCTCAAGGTGACGATGATGATGATGATGATGATGATGATGATGATGATGATGATGATGCTGATGCTGATGATGATGATGATGATGATGATGATGATGAGGAGGAGGAGGAGGATGGCGGTGGTTGTTGTGGTGGTGATGACGATTGATGGTGGTTGACGACTCGTCCAACCCGCCTCTGCCCGGCGGCCCCGTCCCCTCTTTCGCCTCTCACGCCCGGGCTGCTCCCTTCCCAGGGCCAGCCGTGGGGGCCCGCCGAACAGCTCTCCCGCTCCGCGAAGGGGCCCTTTTGAGTCCGAAAAGTGCACCCTTCTTGCCTCTCTATTTTCGGGGAAACGTAAGAGTCGAATGCGCCGGAACTCGGGTTTGCCGACGTTTTTTGACGAGTGCGTCCTGGATCTTGCCGGTCCAGTTTTCGTGGGATGTCTGCAGCGGGAGCTCTCGTCAAATCTCAGATTCATTGGCTTACGCCGCACCGCCGACCCCTTGGGGCGGCAGCAAGAGTGAAAGACAGAATTCGCGGATCGCGCGCGATCGCTGGGCAATCTTGGGGTTCCGGCCTGTCCTACGTAGCGTGTGGGGTTCAAGGGGGGGCCTTGTAGGGGATTGTTTCGAAGTTTTTCGTGGTCTCATGAGAGTTTCTTAGGGCCTTCACGGGGCCTGTGCCAGGCCTCCTTTTCCACCTCCTGGATAGGCTCGGGGTTTGTTGAGACCCAGCTGGGGTTGCGTCCGGCCAGAAGTTCGAGAGTGGATCCAGCTGTGTCGACGAGGAGCTTCCTGAAGGCCCAGAGGGGGCGGAGAGCGCCCAAGAACTAGGAGTCTCATGCCTCGAGCCTCGATCCACCCCGTGTTCCTTCGTTTGCGAAGGGGTGGCACCTGCCAGGGAGGTCGATCCTCTTCCTGGACTTTCGGCGGCGGTCCCCGGCACCGAAAACGGTTCCTGGAGGCTGAATTCGAGGAGATGCTTCGGGTGGTCGAAAGACCACGAAAATCTGTGAGACATCGGCGGCGACGACGAAATCTTCTTTCTTTTTTTCCTCTTCCTCCTCTTCCTCCTCCTCGTCCTTCTCCTCTTCTTCTTCTTCTTCTTCTTCTCCTTTTCCTCGATCGAAGTAGATGCCCGCGGCAGTTCATATGTATGTGTGTTGTGGCTTACAAATGATGTTTAGATGTATATTATAATATATAATATGATATTATATGATATATATATTATATATAGATATATTCATATGAGATATATATTATTATATAATAGATATATTATATATATATATACACATTAATATAAATATATGTATACGTATATATGTATATATATGCGTGTATATATATATATATTATACATATATATGTATTATACATAAATACACGCGGTATTGCAGTTACTAGAATATATATACATATACGCACAAGATTGCAGTGGCGCTTCGCGCCATGCACCTTGGTCCTTGCAGTTTGGTACGCAGGCGGAATTGCAGGAAGGTCAAGCCGACAATTTAGCGATAACTCCTTGTTGCCTTTTCCGGCGTCGCCGCTATACTAATGTTATCCGTTATCGTTCCTCCATGTTTATTTTTTCCATTTTTCGCCATGCCCTGCGCATCCTCCCCATCCTCCTCATTTTTTTTTTGCGGAGGCTCCTCCTTGGAGAGCTTTTGGGGGCCTCGCAAAAGTTGTTTCAGGCTTTCTTTAAGGCCTTCTGGAGTCCTCCTGGGCGTATTCTGGGGGCCTCTGGGGGCTTCCTCGGGCCACCCTGCCTCCAACCGCGGTCTCCTTGAACGACCGGGTCAC